AGCGGTCTCCGTGCTATTTCCCATAGGGGATGGGCCAGTTTATGTTCCTACTACCACTGTAAGAGAGTTAATTTTTGATGGAACTGGAAGGGATTAAAATAAGTGAAATAAGCCGGAGGGAGAAAGACAGATATGGGATGATGTCACTTATATGTGGAATATAGAAAATGAAAAAAAAAAAAAAGGGTCAAATAAAGTCAGCTTTTAAAACTAACCCTTGATCACTGACTGCAGAACTGAGGCTTCCAGAGGACAGGCGACGAGAGAGAACAAATGGGGAAACAGCACAGTGGACTATGGTGGAAGACTCTGGGTGCCTTGGTGGTTGATTGTTAAGGTACTTACTCCTGAAGGGGAGATGCTGTATTTCCAAAAATACAGGGATGCAAAAAATGGTGTATCAAAAATTAAAAACAAACAAACAAATGTATTTGATAGTACAGGAACAGAAGGAATCTAGTGGAAGTAAACTTTCTGCATTTAATTCTTTTAATATTTTCAACAATATTATTAATCCCATTTGCACATAGAGTGGGATTTCTTGAAGGAAAAAAGTAGTTTTCAATTTGTATTTTAAAAGTAAACTCTATTTAGTGAACTTCAAAGTAAGAAAGATTGGTAATAATATTTCAAAAGAACAAACTCAATTTATAAAGCACAGGGCACATATAAGATAGGAAATTTCTTCTCCTTGTCCAACTCCCCCACCCCCTCCAACATTTCATTAAGAAATAAGTAATGTCTGGTCCTCCCTGGTGGCACAGCAGGTGAAAGCACAGCACTAAGAAGCTTAAGCCACTTCCGCATGAGTTGGATCCCCGCCTGCCCCGGAGGTGACCACATGGCGAGGCAGACCTCTCCTGACCTGCCCCCTGCTCCCCTCAGCAGTGTACTTCGTCGATCTGCTTGTTCTGCACCCAACTCTGTCCCTGGTGAATCCTCTCGCCCTCCGCATCTCTGGCCTGTATCCCAGTTCTGTATGAATAAATGAATAAATCTTTAAAAAAAATAAGTAATTTCTATGTCCTGATACAGGTCAATTTTGCAAACCAGCTATTTTTGTCAATAGGTGAAACATGTTACTCTTTTCCACAACTTTTCTCTATGTGACCTCTGACATATTACGCTGAAGTAGGTCCCTTGTGCCTGTTAGTACTTTGTACCAATTTCTACGATGGCCTTGCTTAGATTGTATCAGTGTTTGTAGACTCTCATTTGTGAACTTCTTGGGTTGCAAAATTGTATTGATCTATGTCCTGGAGGCCTAGGATGGAACTGTGTACAAAGGGAGCAGCAAATATTTGTCAAAGAAAGTTGAATAATGTTCATGCACATATTCATTCAGCGGCACTCACTCATGTGTCCAAGAAGTTAAGAGTAGGCACCGTTTTAGATCCTGGGAATATTGGGGTGACCACGCCCACTGTCGCTTTTACTTTCACAAGCCTGATGATTCAGAAGAAAAGACAGGTTTTGCTAGATGTTACACAATAGATGATGAGAATTGTGTTAGGAAGCATAAAATACTGTAAAAACTGCTTTAGCGATGGAGTCTAAACATTCTCAGAAGTGTGATGTTTAAGTTGGGCCCAGAACGATGAGCTGAAACTACCTTAAAAGGGTTAGGAGTATCAGTAGGAGGGAGACAGTGAGACCAGTAACAGGGAATCTATTTACTGTGCCATTACTAATGTATTTCAGGGAAGGAGATAGATTAGCATTGCTGTAAACCAGGATTCTGGAGGGTGAGTGGATGGACGGGGTGATAGCAAAAGGATATGAAGTTTCTTTGTGTGGTAATGAAAATATTCCAAAATTGAAAACAAATTAATGTATTTGGGAGTGATTTTTTTTTCTCTAAACAGTGCTACTTGGCTCGCTCTTTACATTACCTTAACAGAGACAAAGAGTGTGATTGTTGTTTAATGTTTAAATGATCTTTTTCTCTGAGGATGGCTCCTCAGCCATTTGTTCAATATTCAGACATTTTGAGTCAAGAACACAGAATTCGTTTTTGATATATATTTTATTTTAATATGAAGTAAAGGACTATATTCTACAAAGGCTATCATAATTTTCCAATTCAGAATCATGACAAGAAAAGATAATCTTTTTGTGGGAATTCATCTGCTCTCAAAATTTCTGAGGTCACTTTAATTTTTCAGTTTCCTAGGCAGCAGTTGTGACTTGAGAGAAAAATCACCACTTATTGGTCTTAAAATTTATTGTCTCTTCTAGAAATTTCCTGAGAAAATAACAGCTAACATTTGTTGAGTACTTTCCTCGTTCAGATACTGGGCTAAGTATATAGTGTGAACTGTATTATTTAAACATCTCAGAAATATTATATGTAATATTTTTATCCCTTTCTTGCAGAGGAAGACACTGAAAGTATTTGAGTATTCACTGTCTCAGAACTAGTAGTGACAGAAAAGAATTTGATTTCAGAAATGTCTGAAGTTCCTAATTTGGTATTGCTTAAAAGAGTCATCTGTGATACATTAACATGTTAAGACAACCTGAAAACCTCTTCATAGATTTTGTCTAAGGAACACTATCCTTTGTAATATTTAATAAAAGAAATTTCCATTATCTTTGTGCTGAAATTTATGAATAAATGAACACTGAAATGTTCAAAGAATAGTAAATAATATAAGCCCTTTTTAAAGATTTATTTATATTTAATGCATACAGAACTGGGGTACAGGCCAGTGGTGCAGGGGTGGTGAGAGGATTCAGCAGAGACATAGTAGGGAGCAGAACAGGCAGATCGACAGAGTACACTGCTGAAGGGAAAGCAGGCGAGACAGGAGAGGTCTGCTGTGCCATGTGGGTCACCTCCCCAGCTGGGGATCGAGTTTGGATGAAGCCGCTGTGGCTAGCTTGCAGTGCTGCATCCTAACCTGCTGTGTCACCAGCGGTGAAGTAACTGTATTTTGGAGCCTGCAATATTTATCAAAACTTAAAACTCATTTGTCTCGTGACTCAGCAATTCTGTTTTCCAGATTTAAAACATTTCTGGTTATATATCAAAACTTAAAACTCGGGCCTTCCCTGGTGGTGCAGCAGGTTAAAACACAGCACTAAGAAGCTAAAGCCACTTCAGCAAGAGTTCAATCCCCACCCCAGAGGTGACCCATATGGCACCGCAGACCTCTCCTGATCAGCCCACTGCTCCCCTCAGCAGTGTACGTCATCAGTCTGCCTGTTCTGCTCCCTACTCTGTCTCTGGTAAATTTTTTCACTGCCCCTGTACCTCTGGACTGTACCCCAATTCTGTATGCGTAAATAAATAAATCTTTAAAAAAAAAAAAGCTTAGAACTCATCTGTCTCATGACTCAGCAATTCTGTTTTCCAGCTTAAAATTTTTTTTGTACATTTATTATCAATATGTATAATTTGAAATAGTTTATTTAGACTGATATCAAATGTAGACTACAAAGTTTTGAATGAACTGTTATCTAATATGTTTGAATAAGCATATTGTGTAATTTTATGTCCAGACCCAACTTCTAACCCAACTTCTAGTGAGTAAATGCTTCTAGAGAATTTGTCCTACAACTAAATTCACTCATGCATACAAGGTTACATGTCATCAGTGTTCTTTATAGTAATACTTGCATAGGAAAAATTTGGAAGTGTGTGACTTGATCAGTAGAGGCCTAGTATAATAAGTTACAGTATATCACTAAGGTGTAGTTTTATTCAAGCATTAAAAAAATGACACTGTGGCCCTCCCTGGTGGCGCAGCGGGTTAAAGCACTGCACTAAGAAACTAAAGCCACTTCTGCATGAGTTCGATTCCCGCCTGCCCCAGAGGTGACCACATGGCGAGGCAGACCTCTCCTGACCCGCCCGCTGCTCCCCTCAGCAGTGTACTTTGTTGATCTGCCTGTTCTGCTTCCCGCTCTGTCTCTGGTGAATGCTCTCACCCTCCGCATCTCTGGCCTGTACTCCAGTTCTGTACAAATAAATAAATAAATCTTTAAAAAAAAATGACACTGTGACTATATTGATAACTTACACATATACAAAGCATTCATTTATATAAATAAAGCACATGTATATGTTTTGCACACATATAATTTTTACACATGTAAGTATGTATATACACATGAATACACATGAAACACATTCATGGAAAAATTTCTGGGTAGATATAAGAGAACTTAGTGGATATTTTGGGGATTGATGTGGGGACATTTATTTTATACTCTTTACTATAGTAAATTATTTAGAAGTAATTAGCACATATTGCTTTCATAATAAAACTAAGTTTAAATTGGAAAAGTTAAAAAGAAGTGGATGTGGTAATTCTCTTATAAAATTATATTACTCCAGAGGGTGAAAATGGGCTTACTCTTCATTTTTTTCTTCTGAACTATGAACTTTTAAAAATTAATGAATATATTTTGTTTTTATAGTAAAACTTTAGAAATGAAAAACCTTAAAATGGTGAACATATATCTTTAGCAATTATATTCTATGCAATATTATTATACCTGTCACTGAGCCCAGGATATAGTGAATTAAATTATATAGACAGTTAAGAATAAATGCCAGTCTTCAGCTATTATCAGAGAGCTGCTTTGTTCTCAAAGGCTAACTCTTCTCTAGCTTCCATAGAATTGGGAAATAACTCCATGAAGATTTACCTAATTTTTATAAACAAGATTTTTTTCTGTATAAGGTCTTAGTAATGAAATCTTTCATAGCAACTGAAATTCAACAAATGCAGAAGTTGACAGCAGTTTTTCTAGGCATTGCTAGTCAATTGAGCATAGTTTACCTAAGGAAAAATGGCATTGTGCATCTTCAACTCTCGAGCATTTATCAAAAATAGCTATCAAGTTGAAACTGCATTGTTTATTAAGAGACAATTTTCTAGTGTCATCTGACAGTATTTTAATACTATGCTGTCATGGTTGGATAATAAATGTTGAAGAAAGGCATATTTGAAACTCCTAAAGTGTAACTTATTTGGGGTTGTGTTTTACAGGTGGAGCTCTGAAAGTATCAGCTGAGAGGTTTGCAGATGACCCTTGTTATCTTCCAAAAAGAGAGGCTGTGGTTCAAGCTGCCAGGGCCCTGTTGGCTGCAGTTACCAGACTCCTTATCCTGGCAGACATGATTGATGTCATGTGTCTCTTGCAGCACGTGAAAGCTGTAAGTAAAAGATGGCTTAGTTTATCTTAGATTTGTTCTCACTTCTAATTCCATTCTCTGAACTGGACATCAGACCTAGTGCATTCTCATTTCTTAATGTCACCCGTAAGAAGCATGATTGGATTGGTTTGTGAAACTAATGTATATATTAGGAGAATGAAGCCAGAAGTCAGTTTTATTTTTTAAAATATTTATTTATTTATGCATACAAGCCAGAAGTGTGGAGGGTGAGAGGATTCACCAGAGAAAGAGATGGGAGCAGAACAGGCAGATTGACCAAAACACACCTCTGAGAGGAGCATTTGGTGGGTCAGGAGAGGTCTGCTGGGCCATGTGGGTCACCTCCCTGGCTGGGGATTGTAATAGTGCTGCAGTGACTGCAGAGAGCTTCATAGTTCTGTGCTTTAACCTGTTGTGCCACCAGGGAGAGCCCAGAAATTAGTTTTAAAGCCAGTGGGAGTTTGAAAAAAAAGCAGAAGATTGCTTACTGATGAGGAAAAGGAGAGGAGAAAGTCCTAGATTTTGACCATTGAAATGATTGTGTTCTATATAACTATATATATTATAATTATACAGATAATGGAAATAATACATGAATATAAATAATTTGAGGAAGAGAAAACTTAAACTTAAGATGTTGAAAGTTTAATCTAGTTTGTTGGCCCCTCTAAGACCAAGATAAATAACACATGTTATAGGTAGTCTGTGATAGCTGTAATAACTTATGAAATGTACAAATGGATTTAATATGGATAAAGAATATATTTTAACTAGGGGCCTCCAAAAGCAGCAAGATAACCTGTTTGCTTTATGTTACTAGACAAACCCATCTAACAAAGGCTTAGCAGAAAAAATTTTATTAAAGCCTTTTTCCTTTCTTAATATTTGGTTTGAACAACTGTTCAAAAGAAACTTTGAAGTCTCTATTTTCTGTCCTGCCTTAAATAGGACCCTTACTCTTCTGTCCATAAATACTTCCTAATTTTAAAAGGTGCCCAATGACTATATTACCTCTACTGCATTAAGCAAAAGATAGCCTTGACTGGTTGACCTCCTTGTCAAAATCTTTTCCTCTAATTGCTGAGCTAAACCTTTCTTGGTTTCTTTATCTTACTCACTAATGCTTATTTTAACCCTAAAGTAGAGTGACCTTTCATTTGTACTTTCTCATTCCTTTCCTTTTGATAGTTTTATTACTACAAAAGAGCAACTCAGCACTTTTTGTTGTTGTTTAAATAGCTCTTAGGATAGGGATTAGTTCTCATCACCAGTAGCTGTCTACTATTGATTTTGTAGGTGAAATAATTGAGCAGTGTTCCTTGTTACATAGCTATTGGTCTGTTGAATACCTCAAGCATGTCCCTAGACATTTCTAAGATTCATTTTTTTGTAGGTGATTATAGACACAAATAAATGCTATAACCGAGAAATAGGTATGAAAGATTAGGAGGCAGGTATTTCCTAGTGCCAGTAATCTGATTATTGCTTGTTTTAGACTCTAGATTTTTTGAGGTTGAGCCGAACGAAAGGTTTTTTGTAAAGTGAAAATTGCCATATATATATAATCAATTAGGATGTTCCTACACACACACACACATACATATATACACACATATGTATATATACATATGTGTGTATACATATGCGTATATATGTATATGTTGAGAGAGAGAGACTGAGAGATCACAGCTACCTTCATTACCATTTTAATTGAGTGCCACTAACTGTTAGGTATAATGCTAGGTAATTCACACATGACGTCATGTTGTTGACGGCAGGCCAAAGATATGAGACTTTCAGATGTAGTCCCATCTTCAGTTGATGTATGATTGACATTTAGTTGTTGATGGATATTTAGATTCTTCCCACATATAACTGTTGTGAATTGTGCAACAAATGTAAGAGTACTAACAACTCTTTGAGATCCTGATTTCAATTCATTTGGAAAAATACTTAGAGGATAAACTGCTGAGTCATTTACACTTTTCTGATGATTAGCATTGTTGAGCATTTTTTCATATACCTGTTTGTTATCTGTGCTTCATCTTTTTTTGAGAAACATTTACTCAAATCTTCAGTCATTTTTTCTTTTTACTGAGTAGAGAGATAATTCATAGATTTTGGTTTATCAACCTTTATTACATATTTGATTTACAAGCATTTTCTTTCTGTTACATAGGTTGTCCTCTCATATGCTGATTATTTTCTTTATTGTGCAAGTTTTTAGTTTAATGTAGACCCATGTGTTAATTATTTTTGTTTGTTTTATGGCCTGTGTTTTTAGTTGTGTCCATGATTATTGCCAAGACCAATGAAGACTTATCCCCCTATAAATTCTATGAATTTTAGAGCGTTAGGTCTTACATTTAAATCTTTAATCCACTTTAATTGGATTTTTGTAGGTGTATTAAAATAAGGGCCCAATTTCATTCATTTGCACCTGGATATTCAATTTTCCAAATACTACTGTTGAAGAAACTGTCATTTCTCAGTCATATGTTCTCAGCACCTGGGCTGAGGTATGTTAACTTTATAAACACAAATTTATTTTGAAATCAGAAAATGTGAACCTCCAGAAATGATTTTGCTATTTAGGGTCTTTTGTGGTCCCATATGAAATGCAGAATTGTTTTTCAACCTCTGGGGGGCAAAAAAATGTTGAAATTTTGATGAGTTACACTGAATCTGTAGGCTATTATGAGTAGTCTGGACATTGTAATAATATCTATTATTTCAACACATGATCATTTGAAACTTCTTTAATTTCTTTCCTAGACATTTTGTATTTTTCAGTATTCGAAGTCTTTTGCCTCTTTTGTTATATTGATCACTAGATATTTTATTCTTTTTGTTTCTGCTGTTGTAAATGGGATTATGTTCTTAATTTCTCTTTTATGGTAGTTCACTATTAGGATATAGAAATACAAAAGAGTTTTTGTATATTGATTTTGTGTTCTGTAACTTAACTAAGTTAGTTTACTAGTGCTAAGAGAATCAGGAAATTTTTATGGTTTTCTACATTTAATATCATGTCATCTGAAACTAGAGATAGATTTTTTTTTAAAGATTTATTTATTTATGCATACAGAACTGGGGTACAGGCCAGAGATGTGGAGGTGAGAGGATTCACCAGAGACAGAATGGGGAGCAGAACAGACTGACTGACGAAGTACACTGCTGAGTGGAGCAGCGGGCGGGTCAGGAGAGGTCCGCCACGCCATGTGGTCACCTCTGGGGCAGGCGGGAATCGAACTCATGCGGAAGCGGCTTTAGATTCTCAGTGCTGTACTTTAACCCGCTGCGCCACCAGGGAGTGCCCGAGATAGATATTTAATCCTCCATATTGGATGCATTTTATTTCTTTATCTTTTTTTTTTTTTTAAAGAGAGAAAGGCTTTATTGCTCTCCCAAGTGTGGGGTCTGACTAATCATTGACTAATCTGACTATCTGACTATCTTGACTAATTGTTGTGGCAGAAACTTCCAGTAGTATGTTAAGTAGTATTAGTAAAAGTGGGCATTTCTGCTTTTTTCCTTATTGTAGAAAGGAAAGTTTTCTGTTTTTCACCATTGACTATGATGTTAGCTGAGGAACTTTCATGAATGGAATTTAACGTGTTAGGTATTTCCTTGTATAACTAGTTTTTTGGCAGTTTTCAGCAATAGAAGCTGTTTGATCTTGACAGATGCTTTTTAGGCATTTGTTAAAATCACTGTGATTTTTTATATTTTACTAATGTGGTATATGTCACATTAGTGATATTTCATGCATTGAACCATCCTTTCAGCTTAGATATAACCAACTTGGTCTTAGTGTATGATCCTTTTAATATGCTGTTGGATTAATTTGTTAGTATTTTGTTGAGGGTTTTTGTTTTTATATTCATCAGGGATATTGACAGTGTCCTTATTGGTCTTGTATGAGAGTAATTCTGCATTTTAATGGGCTTAGAGTGTTCCCTCCTCTTCAATATTTTGGAATTGGTTGAGAAGAATTAACATTAACTAAGATTTAAATATGGGTATGGTTCAATAGTAATATCTGTTCCTAGCCTCCCATCATAGAAAAGCTCAGAAATTTTTATTTGCTGGGGAAGCTTTGATTACTGATTCAATCTCCATAATCGTTTTGTATCTGTTCAGACTTTCTTTTGCATCATGTTCATATGATCTGTTTAGAGTTCAGCATTGCAATTAAGACAAGAAATAAATTTTAATTGTTTCAATTTCTTTTGTCCCTACAATTTTCACTATGAAATTTAGCAAAAATTCAGTAATTTGAGCTCTATTTTTCACATTTCCTTGTGTTCCTATGCCATGTTAAATGCCAGTCATATGATTTATTTATTTCTTTAAATCTTAATATCTCTCTGAATATTCTACCTAGTATCTTCTGCATAATATATAGCTTTTAATGTCTATGAATTATGTAGTAATTTATCCCCTTGTAAGATTCTAATATTATTAATAAAGAAAGAGCTTTAAAAAATCTCTTTGCTTATACATACCTGTCTTATTTATTTATTTTTTAAAGATTTATTTATTTGTGCATACAGAACTGGGGTACAGCCCAGAGGCTCAGGGGGTGGTGAGAGGCTTCACCAGAGACAGAGTGGGGAGCAGAACAGGCAGATCAACGAAGTACACTGCTGAGGGGAGCAGTGGGCGGGTCAGGAGAAGTCTACTGTGCCATGTGGATCTCCTCCAGGGCAGGCGGGAATCGAATTCATGAGGAAGTGGCTTTAGCTTCTCAGTGCTGTGCTTTAACCCGCTTCGCCACCAGGGAGGGCCCATACCTGCCTTTTAATAATAAAGGGAGGCCTCAAAAAACTCAGCTACCAGTGTGGTAATGTATGATTTTATGTCAATATTATATTATTCATATTAATAGTTGCTGTTATTGTTTATGTTTTGTAGCAATATGTACAGTAAATATTAAATATTATTTGACATAAGAAATTATTAAATACTGGAATGACTTCCCATAAAGATGCTTGTCT